CGGCCGCCGGCGGGAGCGCGGCTGTGGAAAGGCTGGGAGCGCGGCGGGGCTGGGAAAAGGGGCTGGAATGTGGGTCGCTGTCCCTGCAAAGGGGGTCCCTTCCTCAGGGACGAGCGGTCCTGGCTCTGCCGGCCCCCCCGGACAAGGGCCGCAGCGGAGGCGGCGGCAGCGAGCGCTGTGCGGGGCTGGCAGCAGAGCAGGAGCCCCGAATGCTCCCGCTTCCATGGGCCGGAGCAGAGAGCAGGGCCCGCCTGGCCTGGCCCGGTGCTGACTCCGCTGCTTCTCTCCCCTCCAGATGGCCGGACGGAAACTCCTCATCCTTTTCGGCAGCCAGACTGGGACAGCTCAAGACACGGCCGAGAGGATCGGCAGGGAGGCCAAACGGCGGCACTTTGAGTGCCAAGTGGAGGCGCTGGACACCTATGACGTGGTGAGTGCTGCTGCCCCTCGGCTCGTCCCGTTCACAGGGCTCAGGAACTGCCTTCCTTGCTGCGAGCTGCTGTATTTCATCAGGTCATGGTTCTGGGGCCCCCGTGAGGGCAGCTTGTCCTTAACTCAGCTGAAAATGTGAAAATGGAGGCAAAACCTCCTGGTCATCCCTGTCAGACGAGCCATGCGCAGCCTCGTCCTGTGTTTCTTGAGGCCCTGATGCTGCCTGGCAGGGAACCCCAAGGAGCGGCGGCTGCAGGCAGGGCATGTGGGGAAGAGACGCGGCTGCTAGAGGAGGATGAGCGATGTGGGCTGGGGGTTCTGCCCAAGTGGCGTCTGTCCGTGACCTGAATCTAATCACAGAATGCCAGAGTGGTTGAGGTTGGAAGGGAGCTCCAGAGATCATCTAGTCCAAGCCTCTGCTCCAGCAGGGACACCTAGAGCACGGGGCACAGGTGCCTCCCCAGAGGCAGGACCCTGCACTTGCCATTGTTGAACCTCATGAGGCTCCTCTCTGCCCCACTCTCCATCCTGTCCAGGTACCGCCGAAGGGCAGTGCAGCCCTCTGGAGCATCGGCCACTCCACGCAGTTTGGTATCACCTGCAAGCTCGCTGCGGGTACCCTCTGTCCCCTCCGTCCAAGTCCATGGCCACGTTCCAGTCATGTCCCACCATGTTTCAGCAACTGCAGTGAGATCGTGGCCCTGCAGCTGCCCACACATCTCCAGCTGGCCGTGTTTGTGCCCCACGCTGCGTGCGCTTGCACAGAGGCAGGTCACTTGGGCTCCCCGTGTGCCTCTCTTTCTAGCTGGGGCAGCTGTAACTCGACTCTGTGGCCGTCAGCAGCTCCCCTGTTTTGCTGTGTCCCCTGTCCAGGCTCCGGGTATCCTTTGCTGGCTCTGGAGTTAAGCTGGCGACAGTGGCAGGTTTGTCATCCCATAATTGTCACCAAGAGCTCTGAAGATGCCCCCTTGCCCATGGAATCTAGTGTAAAGCTCCATCAATGAGACCACTGACTTATGGCCAAGGACCCTCTCCCCTCTTTGGGAAGGATGAATCCTGCCTGATGCCAGCACGCCTGGTGCCACATAAGGCTTCCTGTTGCCAAAGAAGCCAAAGTTTTGGCGATGACACCAGTCACAGAGCCATGTGTTGTTGGATTGTGTCCTCCTGCTCCTTTGCAGCTGCAAGCAGCTGGGCTAGGGCCTGTTTGCCAGCTCCTGAGCTGCGTGTGCCTCTCTGTGCTTGTCTGTGCCCACAGGCGAACCTCATCCATGAGCCCTTGGTGGTGTTTGTGTGTGCAACCACGGGCCAGGGCGACCCACCTGACAACATGAAGGTAGGATACGTTGGGGTCCATAGTGCTTTTATGCATCAGGTCCTGTGACTGGATTTCCTTTTCTGAGCAGCTTGAGTTCTGTTTCTTTTGGGAGCTGTAGGCTTTGAAACATCCCCCGTCATCCCTGCAGGGTGGCATCAAGCAGATTTTGGGTGAATGGGCCTGAGAAGCATCTCATGCTCCTGAGGGGCCATGACCAGGAAAGCTGGTGGTATTTCAGCAGCTTAAGAGCTGAGAGGGGCCCTTGCTCTAGCAAGAGCCTCAGCTTTGTGGAGACCTAACAGAGCTTTCGCTTTATGGCAGGTAGCACTAGTAGCAAAACCAGGGTTTGCTTGTGTCACCAAGGTGCTCTGAGGTTACAGGCAGTGTCTGAAGAGACGTGCTGAGCAAAGGAAGGTGCCAGGCTGCGCTCCCTGCCCTGTCTGCGCTCAGCAGAGGGGCTGGGGCAGCTTGTGCAGGTTGGGGCAGGGGTCCCCGCTGCGCAGGGTGACTGCCCAGCCGTGCTCCTTTATAGATGTTCTGGCGCTTTCTGTTCCGGAAGAACCTGCCCCCCAGGTCCTTGTGCCAGATGGACTATGCTGTGCTGGGCCTCGGAGACTCCTCTTATCCCAAGTAAGCAGATCTCCTTGGCTCCTTCCTGCCCTGCAGCAGCAGTTCCTCGCTCCTCTGTCCTCAGGCAAGAGCAGAGAGCCTGGGGAATGGAGGGGCAGAGGGAGATGTTGGAATTTGGCTCGAGAGCAGCAGCTTGGACAAGCTGAAATTTCCACCATCCTTAAAAACTCATTTTTCTGGGAGCCCATATCCCTGCCAGTCCCCAGGAATTGGGCTGCTGCCTATTTCTCTCCTCCGAACCTTCTCTGGCAGAGCCTTTGCTGGAGTGTCCCAGACACTATGGCCCCGCCAACTATTGCAGTCCTGGTGCTCTGCTTGTATCCCAGGAAAGCTGATGCACCAAGTTTCACTCGTGCGCACGGCCGGAGCTGCCCCTGTGCCGCTGCAGGTGCGTGCTGGGCTGTGGGGGGAGCTGCCCACTGCAGCTGCGCTTGTTCTTTGCCCAGGTTTAATTTTGTTGCGAAGAAGCTGCACAAACGGGTGCTGCAGCTCGGGGGCAGCCCTCTGCTGCCGGTGGCGTTGGGAGACGACCAGCACGATCTGGGGTAAGAGCCCGGTGGGGACTGTGGTGGGAGGAGAGCGCTGGGTCGTGCATTGGAAGCTGTTTTGGGTTTGGGGTGGCAGCGCCCGCAGTTGCTCCTGTCAGTGGGTGAGCTCTTCTGTGCAGCGGTTCTGCCTCGGAGGGCAGATGAGAGCAGCTGAGAGACACGTTTCCTTGTGTGAATCTGGATGGGGAGCAGCATGGAATTACCGTGTGTGCTGGGAACAGGGAGCAGAAGCAGGTTTTCCTGCTTTGCACAGCAGTCTGGCGCTGTCCGTGTGCTGTGTCCGGGTGGCAGGATGGGGGCACAGGCCATGGTGGTGCGGGGCTCCCTTCTGCCTTGACAGCTCCCAGGCAGGCTGCAGGGCTGCCAGCTTTGGAGCTCAGGGAGGTGCTGGGAGAATCAGCGCTCTGCTACAAGCTGGATCTCCCCCTTGCAGACCAGATGCGGTGATTGATCCCTGGCTGCTGGCCTTGTGGGACAAGATCCTTGCCTTGTATCCCCTCCCTCCAGGCGTCCAGATCATCAGCCCAGATGTGCGGTGAGTGCAGAGGGTGAGCAGAGAGTGCTGGCAGCTTCCCAGCCCCCCTAAGGCCTGGCTGGTGCGGAATGCCCTGCTTCCCTGGCCGTTCCCTGGGACAGAGCTATGCTCTACTTTCGCGAGGAAGCCTTCCCGCATGGATGCCGGTGTCTCAGGTGTCCCTTAGAGTTTGGCCTTGCATGGTCCATATCCCCTTGTGGCCGTGGTGTGTGCCAGCTGCCCTGGCCCGGTCCTGCCCACCTCCCTGTCGCAATATGCACCTGTGCATGGTGGATGTTGTGGGATCCTTCAGGTTCCTTCCTGGCACAAGCTCTAGAGCTAAGGCAGCAGAGGAGCTCTGGGACGGAGGTAACTGTTCTGCACTGCTGCCTTCCCTACAGCCTGCCCCCAAAATACACCCTGCACTACGTGGCTGAAGGTTCCTCCTGCCCTGATGGTGACGTGCTCCAGCCAAGAGAGGCCAAGGCTGTTCCCTCAGAACAACATCCCTTTGCTGCTCGGATGGTGTCCAATGAGCGGGTCACGGCAGAATCCCATTTCCAGGACGTCCGGCTCATTGAGTTTGATATCACAGGCTCAGGAATGATGTGAGTGTTTGTGTGGCTCCTCCAAGCTTTGCCTCCTCATGCCATGGCTTGATGCAGGAGGCTTGGTGCTTGTGCTGACCTTCCCTGCCAGTCCTGGGGTCCTGTCAGTGCAGGGTGCCTGGGTGACCCGATGTGGCAGCTTGTTCTGTCTGCTTGTGTTTGGGCTTCTGCAGCTGCCCTGGTTGTTGCAGGTCAGAGATGTGGGCAGGCGGGAGGGTTGGACAGAGGGGAACCTCCTGATGTTCAGCAAAGGCACCTGCAGGGTCCTACACTTGGGAAAGAATAACCCCAAGCACTAGGAGAGGTTGGGGGTTGAGCTGCTAGAGAGAAGCAGCACCTTCTGCTCTGCCCAGAAGGACCTGGGAGTCTTTGTGGACAACAAGTCAATCATGAGGCAGCAAGGTGCTCTTGTGGCCAAGAACGCAGGGCCGTGTTGGTACTGCCCTCGTGAAAGGGGAGTCGGGTCTCCCATAACTCCCTTCCCCTTCCACTTCCCCCCTTCACCAATGTCCGAGGCTGCAGCCCATTCTCCATGGTTGTGTCCCTGCTACTCATGACAAAGTGAGGGCAGGTGGGCTGCATGACCCAGTGTGGGATGTGCTATATGTCTTTGCCTTGTCAAGGTAGAGAGGATAATGTTAGTGACACTGCATTTTTGACTAAGTTGTGGCGTCTGGCAGCTCCTGGTGAGGGTCCTTGTGCTCTGCGTGCGGGCCCGCCCTGTGGCTGTGCTCAACAGGGTCTGCTGGATGTGCAGGTTCAGCGCAGGAGACGTCGTGATGATCCAGCCGCAGAACAGCCCTGAGGATGTGCAGCAGTTTTGCCAGCTCTTGCGCCTTGATCCAGACAGACACTTTGTGCTGAAGCCCTTGGAGCCTGGTAGGTCCTTCTGGCTGCTCCTTTCCCTTCATGCTGGGATGGGGCAGCCCCCTGAGCTTTGGGCCAACTTGTAGTCTGCTTTTCCCTTGCTTTTGAGCTGCAAAGTGAGGAGTTGGGAGTGACTGATGGGTCCAGGACACGCACGTGTGTTGCTGTGCTGAGGGCCCCTTCCCTGCCAGGCCTTTGGTGTGTGTGGCTCCTGTGTTCGGGCCGTGTGATTCACGGCAGGAAGGCAGCTGTGTGTGTGCTGCACCCGTGCCTCGTGTTTGCAAACCCTCAGGCCAGAGCGTGAAGGCCTCTCTCTTTCCCCAGGCCAAGAGCCAAGCTGGGTTGCTCAGAGCGCTCTCCTGTGTCTCTGGTTTCTTGCTGTGGGTGTGTTGGTCTCCCCACTCAACTTGCACGCCAGAGACCTCCTTGTGCAGCCACACACCGGCCCCAGTGACTGGAGAACCCCCTTGGAGTCACCCTCAACTGCCTTGCCAGGCCCTGCCACGGCTCTGCAATCTGCCTGACGCCAGGAGAGCTGTCCCTTGTGCCCAAAGTGCCGTGGTCAGAGCGCTGTCCAGACTGACTGGGAAATGGGATCCTGCATTGATCGCAAAGAATCAGAGATGCCAGGAAGAGAGTGATATCTACCATGATATCTCCTGGGAAACTCCATTCCCTTCCCTTCACCTCATGAAGCTCTGACCTGCGCTCCCCCCTTTTCTGATCCCCTCCAGGAAGGTGGTGAGGACATAGCAGACAGCTTCAGCATCCGGCTCTTTTTGCCCATCCAGGGAGAGCACATGAATCACTTGATCTCAGTGTCCCTGATGTGCTCTATACCAAGAAAGGAGAAGCACTTGACTCTGCAGAGGACAAAGAGCTCCTCTGCTTCATGCCAGCTGAAGCTTGACATTACCGTGAGGACCCACAGGAGGGCGTCTGTGCCCCAGGAAATGTCCAAACCACCACAACAGGAAAGGACTTCTCTGCCTCTAAGATGCCAGAGCTCCATTCCCACTGACTCTCAGTATTTTTGGTGCGGATCTGTCCCAGCATTGCCACTCTGGCTTTTTGACCTGCCTGCAGGGAGCTGCTTCTCCTGGAGGATCACAGGTGTTGCTTAATGCATCTCCAGATCAGTGTGGAATCTGTCAGTTTGTACAATGTGTTGCTGCATCAGTTTGGTGTAATTAGATGCCAAATTTAGGAGAGTAGGTCTTCAGTGCTCCTTTCGGAAGCAGTACTAGGGCTCTTTTCATCTTTCCTGTGCTAGTGTCTGCTGCTGCATGCAGAGATATTCTCAGAACTACAATTTACTGCAGACACCTGCTGCTTCCCCTGCAGCGGCAGACGCTTTGAGAGAGTTTGTTTTTCCTCCCTCTTCCTCTCTCCTAAACCCAGCAGTGCTGGGATCCAGGCCTAGAAAGCAAACCCAAGAGAAGTTCAGGCAGTTCCTTATGCTCTGAGGGACGGGCCTGACACAGCGGAAGCTGCTATTTCCACTGCAGTGCATGTGCCACATGAGGTCCCAAAGCACCTACATACAGCAAGGGACTGCCCCGTTTGACCCTGCCAGGTTTCTGTGTGTGAAGCCAGTGGGCTTGCAGGGATGGTGGTGGTTCAAGTCTTCTCCACTAGTAGCTCGCCATGATGTGCAGGTGCTCACGAAGAGCAGGGCTGCCCTTGCTTCAGGTATCTGGGGAGGACCCAAATCTGGAGGGATGTCAGGCAGGCAGTGCTCGGATTTGGTGCCTGGGAGCTGGCCCTGACCTTTGACCGGTGCTTTGCCTTGCAGGTACTGCCCTCCCTGCCCTCTTGCCACAGCCCTGCACCATCTGGCACCTGGTTACCCACTACCTGGACATCTGCTGCGTGCCACGGCGCTCCTTCTTCGAGCTCCTGTCCTCCTTGTCTGTGAATGAGCTGGAGCGCGAGAAGCTGCAGGAGTTCAGCTCGGCACAGGGCCAGGAAGAGCTGTACAGCTACTGCAACCGGCCACGCAGGACCACTCTCGAGGTAGGGCTGGGCGAGCATGGCCAACCTGGCCAGTGAGGACAGCGTCTTGGCACAAAGCCCCGGGACATCTCTTGGCTGGGGAGTTTCATGTACGTCACCTGTTTTCCGAAATGTCCTCTGCTTTGTCCCTGGTGGTGAGGAGCGGCTCCCTGCCCTTGGATTTGCCCTGCTCTGCAGCCTGGGCACAGAGAGCACGGGGTTCTGGGGCAAGGGGAGGGCGCTGGTGCTGGGTAGCTGCTCGGAAGCCCCTCGTGTGGTGCCTCAAGCTGAGTGGCCCGCAGGGTGCAGGGAAGCAGTAGCCGGGCAGCTCCAGTTCTCCTCTCCACTTGCCTCGGCCAGGCCCTTTGGGATTTCCCTCACACTACGAGTGCCATTCCGGCCGAATATCTGCTGGACCTCATTCCTCGCATCAGACCTCGTGCCTTCTCCATCGCCTCCTCTCAGCTGGTAAGAGCTTGGTCATTGCAGACCTAATGCCAGGCACTGAACTGAGGTACTGTCAAGTGCTGGCCTAGTAGCTTGTGCCGTGCAAGCTGCAGGTGTTGAGGAAATAACCCCCAGACTCTGTGAACACCCCTAGGGCACCCAAACACCCACTCCGCTGTGAGCCTGCAGCTTGTGCCATGGTGGGTGTTAATCCCTGTGGCCTGGCCAGCCTCTGGCCTAGGACATTTACCCCTGTAAGTGCTGCTGAAGAGTGCTGGGGTCCTTGTGCTGTGTGCAATGTGGTGCTGTGGAGGCTGGGCAGGTCCCTGTGCAGCGGGGCCGTGCAAGGGCTGGGAGGGGGTTGTTTCCTGCTGCTGCCAGGGGGTGGCAGGAGGACCTGGCCCTGGCAGCTTGGCAGGCATCAGCCCAAGCACCTCCTGTGTTTTCACTGCCCAGAGGGCTCTTGGCTTGGGCTGCGCCTGCCTGCCTTATCAGCTGGGCAGAGCATCCTGCCGCAGTGCTGCTCTGGGAAGCCTCTTTTCCCAGTGGAAAGGCTTTAGTCAAGGATGCACCAACTGTGTGTCCGAGGAGCCGTTTCAGGTTAGATTCCAGGGGGAGCACAGGGTGTGTTCCTGGAAGAGTCACTGGGCTTTTCCTGTAGAGCTGGGCTGTGTGTGGCCTGTCCCACTGCTCCTGGAGCCGTTCCCTGCCTGCAGACCTGTCTCTAGCAGCTGACGACACGTGAGAAGTTGCCTTCTGCCCAGGGCTGATTTTTAACTATGTGCTCTTGCTGCTCTGCTGTTCTGCTGTAGCTGATTATTATTTTTCTCATCCTGGATGTCTCATTTCTTATGGTTCCCATCTGCGCACAGGTTCACCCCAACCGGATCCAGATCCTCATGGCAGTGGTGAAGTACAAGACGCGGCTCAGCAAACCCCGCCGTGGTCTCTGCTCTACCTGGTTGGCTTCCCTCAACCCACAGTACGGTAACAAATTGCTCCAACTATGCAGAGGCCGCTGTGCACTGCCTCAAAGCACAGTGCCGATCCCATAGGATTATGGTAGGGCTGTGTGTGTGTTCACAGAGCCTGCCCTGAGCACCCGCCGTTTGCTGGTTTTCTCCCTGCTTGCCAGCGCTCCTGCTGCCAGTGCCTGTGTGTCTTGCTGTGTCCACAGCTGGCTGCACCTGGCATCCTGGCTCTGGAGATGTTCTGGTTGCAGGACATGTCCAGCCTGTGGAGCTCTGTGAAGAATGGTGATTCCTTTGAGCACCTCTTTCCTGTTTCCCTAGGGCTGTGTGCGCTGCTCTGATGACCAAGCCCCTGAGCTGGGTCCCCTAGCAAGTGCAATAAGCTGCCAGGGTGTCTGTGCTGCAGGAGGGCAGGGGATTTCTCTGTGTGACTCCAGAGCATGAGCGGGTCTTCTTGGAGTACCCAGACGGGTCTCTTGAGTCCTCTGTGTGTCCCTTAGATGAGAGGCAGGTTCAGATCTCTGCTTCCTTCTGCCACTGTCTTTGATGGTCCATGGTGTGTGTGTGAGGAGGGGGCTGCTGTCCCAGCACCCCTGTGCTGTGGCACTTTTGCCTTGCTCTGGGATTCACTAGAGCACTTTGCAGAGTGACACAGCGGTGTCTGGGCCAGCTGAAGGGCCTTTCACACTCACCCAGTGTGCTGTAGCACCACGAGCACCTTGGTGTGGGGGTCGTGTTAAGACAGGCACAGTCCATACTGGCAGAGCCTTGTGGCTGGCCCCGCTTTGGCCTAGGCAGTGCCCTCCGCGGGGTCTGTGCTGGATGGTTTCTGAAAGCAGTGGTCCTGCAGTGCTGCTAGCCGGTGTGTTTGTTTTGCAGGAGATGTCCGGGTCCCTCTTTGGGTAAAGAAAGGAGGAATGAAGTTCCCGGGTGTTGCTGACACCCCCGTGATCATGATCGGCCCTGGCACAGGCGTGGCACCTTTCCGAGCAGCAATACAGGAGCGTGTAGCACAGGGACACAGGGGTGAGTGAGGATCCTGACAGGGTCTCTTAGAACAGGCAGGTTTGTTCAACACGCACGAGGGAATGCCTGGGGGCTCCATAGGCTTTGAAGAGGCCTGGAATGTCCTGTGGTTAAGAGGGAGAGAGCTCAGCTGCACTGTGGCAGGACAGAACACAGGTCCACGTGTGCTGGAGGAGGCAGGGACTAGAGCCCGGTGTGTGTGAGCCATGGGGTTATTGCCAGGGTGCACTGCCAGGCTGTCCCCTGGGTTATGGTAGGCCAACACTCATGTGCCAGCTCTGCAGAAGCTCTTTCTTGACTCTCTGTAAGCAGAGAAGGGTTGTGGAGCTCATGTTGTGCTGGAGAAGTAATTGGTCCTTTGCCTGCCCTTGTCCCATTCTGCAGTTCCCCAGCTCAGCTGCAGGAAGCTGAGAGTGGAGTGGAAGGGATGAGCATGGAGCTCTGGGGCTGATTGTCCCCTCTCCAGGTACCGCCCAGCTCTTGCTTGTCCCCACACAGGGAGCATAAGATTGCCAGAGGCCACCTGGCTTTGAGCTCCCATGTTTCTTGAGTGGTCCTGGCTCTTCTGTGGCCAGGGCTGTGAACCAGGAGTGTTAGGTGAGAGGTGGCCTTGGGGCTCTACATGTGGGTGCTGTGGACATGGCAGTGCCCAGCCCTCGTGGGCCACGTTCTCCGTGCCAACATGGTCCTTTTGGTCTGCTGTCTGCAGGGAACTGCTTATTCTTCGGCTGCCGACAGAAATCCAAGGACTTCTACTGCCAGTTGGAGTGGGAAGAGCTGGTGGCGAAGGGTTTCCTGATGCTTTTTACGGCCTTCTCCAGGGACCAGGTTAGTTCTTGGAGGAGGAGGGTGTAGGTGGAAACAGCCCAAGCAACAATGACAGGGCCCTGCCACTGCTTCTGGGTCCCTGTGCCTACTGTCCTGGATTGCAGAGGTCCTGCTGGGTGGACACAGGGGTCACCACTCCCTCGCGCTAGGGTGGTCCTGCTGGGTGCAAAGCCTGGATCCCCCCAGGAGCACAGAGTCACTGTCCAGCCAGGCACAACGTGGCTGAGCTGAACCGGGAAGGTCAATGGGACAGGCCAGCAAGTGCCCAGGCAGATGGGCTGTTACTCGTCTGTGTTTGGAGCACGTGAGTGATAAAAGGCTCCCAGGCCTCGGCGGATCTCCAGACAATACCCCTTTTCTGCCACGCGTCCAATTGTGTCCCTGTGCCGGAGCGCTGGCTGAAGTGGAGCAGCTTGGCCTCCTGCCCCAGCCCTCGCTCCGCCCGTGTCGCCCTCTCCAGCCGTTGAGGAGGAAGCTCCCCAGAGGGAAGAGCACCCCAACACCTTGGCCCCTCACTTGGCTCCCTCCCTTCTTCCCCAAGCTGGAGTTTCATTGGGCATGTGGTTTTGTTAGCCTCTTTCTTCTCTCTGGGCTGCTGAGTTTTTATCTGGGCTGCTGGAGAATGAGCTGGGACTTATCTGGTTCACTGCTCAGCGCTCTCCCTTTATGGCACTGAAAGCTCAACCTAGCTTTGAAACAGAGGTATCTACGAGAAATGAGAATTGGTATTTCCAGGTATCTTAACTGTACCAGTATTTTGTTCCTTGATATTTGCATGCATTGACTTTAAGCCAGCTGTTATCCCTTGAAAAACATGAATTGAATCTCTCTGTAAAAGCTTTCCCACTCTTTGATTAAAAAGAGCAGGAGATGCTCTATAGTGGAGCAGGATTCCCTTCTTCTTGCTGCAAGGTCACCTCTGTAGTGACCTTCTGTCACATTGCTTGTGCCCCAGGGATGCAGGCTGATCCCTGCCTAATGCTCCTGCTGCTAATTCCCAGCAGGATGCACTGGGGTTTAGCTGGGGCACCGTGACTGGAGTTTGTCATCTGGGGTGCTGTGGTTTCCTGGTAGCTGCAGGTCATGTAAGGACCTGCTCAGAGCCCCAGTCTCATTGTCAGAGTCTCTGTGGGCACTTAGCTGATTAATGGTAACGATGCTGGAGCTGAGCTGTGGGCTGGCTGTGCTGCTGCTTGCAGTGGGCTGGCTTCCCTCGTGGAGCTCTCGTGGCTGGAGTCAGAGCAGTAGAGCTGCGCTCAGGGGGGACCTGGCTCTGTCCTTCTGCCACATAGGTGCTGTAGCTGTGTGGGAGCAGCTGCCTATGCGGTGGCTGCGTCTTGTGGCAGTCAGGGCCCAAGCGGGTTTTGAAGATCTCCAGAGAAGGAGACTCCACAACCTCTCTGGGCAGCCTGTTCCAGTGCTCTGTCACCCTCACTGTTAAGAATTTTTTCCTTAAGTTCCTGTGGAACTTTTGGTGCTTCAGTTTCTGGCCGTTTCCTCTAGTTCTGTCGGTGGCCACCACTGAAAAGAGGCCAGCACCATCCTCCTCACTGCCTCCCTTGAGGTATTTATATATTAGATCCCCTTTCAGCCTTCTCTTCTCCAGCTGAACAGACCCAGCTCCCTCAGCCTCTCCTCACAGGGCAGGTGTTTCAGGCCCCTGATCATCCTTGTAGCCCTGTGCTGGACTCTTCTTAATGCACCCCAGAAATGCAGCCAAAGGCCTGGCCTGCCTCACGGCGTCACCTTTTGTCACAGAGGGCCCATCCAGGGTGGCAGTGAGTTCGAGCACATTGGCAATGGTGTTCTTCTTGGGCAGGAGCCAACTGTGGGCAGCAGATTGTGTGCTTAAAGTCTTGTGGATTAACCTTTGGGAACTTCCCTCAGATGATGTGCACTCTGCCAAAAGCCGTGTTTTCCATCTCTATTGACAGTGAAAGGGCAGGGACTGGGACTGAGGTTGTGCCTTGAGGCTTCCTGCTCTTTCAAGTGCTTTCAGGCCTCCAGCTAGTGCTAGGGCTGGAGCTGGCATCAAAAAGGTTCACAGGAGGATCATAGCAAACCCTTGCTGTTCACCAGAGTTGGCAGCAGACAGAGAGCAGTGAAGGGATCTCTCTTCCAGCAGCCATTCGGGAGGCTTTCCCTGTCCCCACTGTACCCGTCTCCTGCTGACTTGCTCCGGTCACTTGCCTGGGGGCCTCAGGATCCCCTCTGTTCAAGAGAACTGATTCAGCTGTAGCTGTCACTGGGCTCTAGTGCCCTCCTGCTCCCCAGAAGTTCCCCTGGGTTCTTGAAAATGGCTCCTGAGAACAACCGGGCCATTCCCCAAGGTCAAGCAGGCACGTGTGTGACGGGGTTGCTATCAGTGCTGCTGGAGCTGGTGGACTCAATCTTCTGCTTCCCTGCAGGAGGAGAAGGTCTATGTTCAGGACCGCATCCGAGAGAACCCCTTGGAAGCACAGGTCTCCCCACCTGGCTCAGGCTGGGGTTGGAGTGGTCGCTGGGGTACACCTGAAAAACTGGGGACGGGGATTCTGGTGTGAAAATGAATGTCAAGGGTGAGGCTGTGTCATCAAAGTACCAAAGTGCTGATTGCTGAGACCCTGAGACTGCAGCTTGGCACGTTATGGGCTCCCTGGCTTCTGACTCGCAGCAAATGTGAATGTGGGAGAGCTCTGAGCCCTGTCCAGCAGTGCTGAGTGAAGCTGGAGCAAAAGCTGATCCGGTTCCTGTGGCTGCTCAGGTGAGCAGGAGGCTTCCACAGTGAGAAGCAGCCAGGGCCTGCTCCTCTGTGCTGTGGCTTTTGAGCAATAGCTTTTGGGATCCTTGGCCCATCCTGGCTGTTTCCTAGCACGTGAGACTGCCTTCGTGGGGCAGGCATGGACGAGCAGTTTGAACTGCAGCCTGCATCCCTTGGGAACGGAGTCATTTGCTAAATGCTTTACCTCTGTCTTGTGCTGAGATTGCCAACTGTTGGCCAAGAAGACATGCCTGGTTGTTCAACTGGTGTCTGGTTGTTCAACCTGCTTCCTGCTTCCAGGGCATGGCCACATGGTTGTGAAATACTCTTGCTAGCTCCTTGTCGTGCACCTCCGTGACCTGGAAAGCACTGTGCAAAGCCTGAGCTGTTCCTTGCTGTCTACTAGAACAGTTAATGGCAGGAGGAGCTTTCCTGCTTGTCCTGCATGAGAGCAGGAAGTTCTCTGCTGTCACACAGGGTGAGTCTTGCCTTGCTGCCTTCCTGGGAGAAGGAGGTTTTTTGTTTACTACCCAGGAAGTGCCGAGGTGTTGACTGCTCAGTAACTCACTGCTGTGCTGCTGGTCTGACATGCCTCATGGCATCACAGGGCCTTCTAGAAGGCCTTACCCCAAACCTGTGATTCCTACCTACAGGTTTGGGATCTAGGTTTCTTCTTCTCCTTCAGGTTGCACTAAGGACAATGTGTGAGGGCTTTCCCTCCACGCACAGTCCATATGTCAAGACCGTATTTTCTGGGCAGTGGGTTGGCAACCCAAACATGGTGTCCTGATGCTGCACAGACCTGTGTTGTTTGCAGCTTTCTGATGCTGAATGCTAGAGATGCCATGGGGTTTGGGTGGGAAGTTGAAGTGGTTCCTCTTAGAGTCTTGAAAAGGCCAGAGGTAACGCAGCTCCTACTGTTTTGGGATTTTGGAGGAGCCGTGATAGCATCCCTGGTGTCAAGGTTACCCTGAGGCTCAGCTCCCTGGCCCAGGCATGGCCAGCACTTTGTCCCTGCCACTGGGGTGGCCCTCAGGCTGACCAGGCAGACAGGACCTTAAAGCCTTGCCTATCCCTCTTGCATGAGCAGCCTGTCCTGATCCCAGCAGACGCTTTCCCACCCTGCTGAAGAGATTGTACCATTTGTAAAGATGCCCAGGCTCATGGTGGTCCTGCTGCCCAGCCCGTAGATAACTGATAGAAACTTGTAGATGACAGCACAATGACCTGAAAATGGCTATTTTTCTTGGAAATTGTGTTCACATTTTCAGCTACACTAGGAAAAAAAATGGCAAAACTGACTCTTGAAATGGCATATTGCTGAGAAACAACAACGCAGTCTTCCTGCCCTCCCCATGTCTTGCTGCCTGGGACAGGATCAGGAGAGCCAGGGCTGTGTTTTGTCTTGAGCTGTGCCTGTGTCTTCTAGCCCATGGGCTAAAATGTTAAAAATACATCACTATTTCTGCAAAAGATAGAGATTCGACATCTTCTCCATTGCCAGTCTAGCTACGTTGGCTGCCACTTGCCTATTGGTGCCTGATTCAGAAACAATACAGCCCTTCTAGAAAAAGAAAACCTGCTTTCTGTATATTTTGGTGCATTAATCACTTCAAACGCAGGTCAAAGTCTGGCACAATTCTTGGGAAACAGGCAAAGACTTTGCCAGGTGTTTGTACCAGTTGGAGCTGCCTGGGTGTTTTTTCTTTAGATGTTTTTTTGTTACACAGTCAGTCTATCAAAATGAAACTCTCCCCAGGAAGAAGCCTGAATTTCTTGTTTCCCATAAGAAATAGCATTTGGAATTGTTGAATCCCGCTTGGGTATTTTCTATATAAGAAGTCACGTTTGCTCCATTTCTTTTGTTTGGATATTTGGACTGGCTTTGCTTACAGTTATCGACCTCAAAATAAGCCATTTCAGACTTACCAGGAGGAGGCCTTTGGATGGACTGAAATGGCTGCGTTCTCGGCCTGCTCCTTCCCAGCAGTCTTTTATACCCAGTTCAGGACCAGACATGTTTTCCATTAGACATTTCCCATGGGATGAAAGGGTAGTTTCCTGCCCTCCTGCGGATAAATTATGACTTGTGCATATCGCCTGTTTCAAATCACTGCCCGTGCCCCCCTAATGATCTTGATGGGAGATGAGGCAAAATGTTGGCCGTAGTTAAGGCTGCCAAGCTCGGGTGCCCCTGGGTTCCCAGGGCACCTCTTAGCCTGCAAATGGCAGCACCTAAAAACCACGTGCAGGTAACAGCACCGCTCTGTAGGGAGTGGTGCTAGCTGCCTTGTGAAGGCTGCCGTTTACTGAGTGCCAAGGAGCTAGCGCTGCAGGCTGAGACAGGTTCCCTTGCCCTGGTTGAGGCGCGGCCTGTGCAGGCCCGGCCACAGTGAGCCCTCTGCCTGGCTTGTAACCCTCCTGCCTTGCAGGAGCCACCAGCTGGGCTGCCCAAGCTGCTGCTTCAGCCTGTTTGGGCGGCGGGGCTTGAATCCCAGTGCTGGGGGAGAGCCGAGGTGGAAGGAGCTGCCGGCCGAGCTGCCCAGCTGTCCCGCCTTCCCCTGGAGACGCGGCCATGGCCTCGAGTGGGAGTAGCTGCTCCTGCGGCCTGGAGCTGAGCCGGCTGTACCGCGTGGAGCACTGTGGGGGGGGACGAGGCCCCTGGTTTCCAGCTTGCTCTGTCTTCCAGGAAAGCCCAGCAGATGCCAGCAGCAGTGGCCGAAGCCCTGCAGTGGGTGGCGCAGTCGGAAGGAGGCCTGTCATCCTCAGAAGCTGAGGAGTATTTCACAGCCCTGGAACGATGCCAGCGCTTCCAATCTGAAACCTGGTCGTAGTCCTGGCTTCCAGCTCCCCCCTTCCTCCCTGCAAGCTGCACGGAAGCACCTGAGCCCCAATAAAGGAGCCAGCAAAATGATCTGCCTCGGGCATCATCCTTGGGCTGAGATTATCCAAGCCAGGGCGGGTTTATCCAGCCAGCTCTTTCCCCGTGGTTGCAGGACCAGGGTTCCCCTCACCTCCCTGCTGGGCAGGGGGGACCCGTCGCCCCGCCAGGCTCAGCCCGGTTACTGCTCCCTGTGCTCATAAGCAGCGCAAATGGTGACACTTCCATATTCACTGAGGCCGCAGTGCCCGCAGTGTCGCTGTGCGCTGGAGGGGGCTCATGCAGACCCCACGAGCCCTCATCCCTGCCGTCCTAGCCAGAGCTGGAAGCTTTCCCCAGGAGCTACGAGTGGGTGGTGGGAGAGGGAGGCCCAGCAAACACAGCTTCAATGCGGATCAAATCCCCCTGCCTGGGGCATGACCCAGCTGGAGCAGAGCCCACAGGCCTCTGCATTGGGCGCTACTGGCTGGTTCTTGAGCTACCTTCCTGGGTGCTCCACCTCACAGGATCCCTGCCCTGGATGAACAGCACCCGCGGGTATTGCTGGAGTGATGGCAGTGGCCTTTGTTTGTGGGAGGACCTAGAGGAAATATGCTGTTATTTGGGAATCTCTCCACCCAGGTGTGAGTCAGCAGCAGCACCTCTTGCTGGAGGAGATTGCCTGGCCAGAACTGTTGCCTCTGTCTCCGCTCACCGATGCCATTGGAGATGTACAGAGGAAGGTTCCCTTCCTCCAGCACAGCCGCCAGTTCATCTTCCTGAGTCCGCTTCACGCAGGCTCCGCTATCCCATTCCCTGCCTTGTCCTCAGGAGCTGCTGCTCCTCCAGGCCCATCCTGCAGCTCTGGCCGCGCTGTGCAGGGCCGAGGCCGGCGGCCCCTTCCCCTGCTGCAGCCCGTGCCGCCGCCTGCCTCACCCGGGTCACCCCGCGCTGCTCCGTAAACAGCAATTAGGGCCCATGGCTGAGTCAGCTGGGGACAGTCCCAGGGAGCCGGGCAGGAGCAAGCTGGGGCAGGAAGGGAGGACCATGACACATCACGCCTGGGACCCGGCCCTTCTTCCCACACCGGAGCATGAGGCCCTGTGTGGGACGAATGGGACGAGCGGTGCTCTGGGCATTGCTAGAGCGGCGGCAGTGGCAGCGCGGGGATGCAACGTGGCCCTCAGGTCTCCCTCTACCCTCTAGCTAAGTCAGGGCCTTGGCAGACCTGTCACCTCGGTGTCCACAGAACTGGGCCGGACGAGGCAGGCTCCCCTGCGCCCCAGGGCCACTGTGGGAGGCTCTGCGCCAAGCCGGGTTAGTCCGCACGCTGCTGGCCATGTCCCCTGGCACGCGGGTGCCACCCAAGCCGGACTCATCCCGCAGAGCGCTCCGTGCAGCAGGGGGCACCGGCTGGATGGGATAGAGATCACCCAGCCTAGGAGGGAGCTGGGGGTGAAATGGCCTCCCCCAAAAGCTGAAAACCTCCAAACCGTCCCTAGAGCGAGGAATCAATGGGATGGGAGCAAAGCAGGGCTGAGAGGTGCCAGGTTGCACAGGGGAAGGTTCAGTGGGGGGGTCTGTCCTGGGCAGCCAGGGGCCCTGCGGAGAGCGTTGTTCCCAGCGAGGAGCGTCGTTCCCGGCGGAGCGGCGTTTC